ATCACCAATTCCAATCGAATTCCTTAGTAGCTTCACCAAGATCTTTAGTTCCTCATGTGTTTCTTGAGCCAAAGAGGAGAAGAATGCTGTTGAGTATTTGTAAGAATCGTAAATTAGATGAAAATCACGTCCAAATTGGTTTCTAAAAGAGTTCTAATCGAATAAGGAAAGTTCTTTTCACGCGCGAATTTTTTGTCTCTGCACAGCATTCAGTAATTTGGTTATAACTTTCTCTTCCATTATCTGAGATAGATAATTTAAGATATGTTAGAAAGATAACTCGAAGAGATACAACTTTATTAGAAATAGATATTTCCCAATTCAGACTTTTACTATGCCAAAAATGGGTCACAATCTTTAGCTAAAAATCTGGAATATATCTTGTGCGAATTGGAAATTGATTTTGATAATATTTCATTACTTTTTGACTTCTAATTGCTTCCAATCGACCCTTAGCACTCTCGAACCTTCATCATGAACCCCGTCATAATTTTTGAGTATTTGCACTTTAGTCCCTGAACTTTCACTTTCTTCAATTCTGGTCATTTTTCATTTATTTCTCCTTATTTCCACTACATNAACTTTCACTTTCTTCAATTCTGGTTATTTTTCATTTATTTCTCCTTATTTCCGCTACATTCATCACTTGTCCTACAAAACATGAATTACATAGAATTAAGCTATATTCCAATATATTAATCAACAATTGCTCATTCTTGACAGTAAAATAAGTATGTAAAACGTACTTATCATGAAGCTTTGAATGTGAAGGAGAAACCAAATCAGAATCAAAATGAGAAATCAATGCAACTACAACTTTCACAAAAGAGAAATCCCAATTTACCAAGTTCAAAAATCAGAACAAGACTCAATCTAAATCTAAACTACAGCCTAGAAAATGTTACTATTATGGGCAACGATGACATCTAATCAAAGACTTTCAAAAAGATCTCTGACATGAAAGATAAACATAATTCTAATAGGTCTGATGCTGTTGCCTGTAAAAATGAGTATGATATTCAGGGGTTTGTTCTTGTTAATACCACCAATAGGAACCCAAAAGAATATGTTCTTGATTCTGGCTGTACGTTTCACATGTATCCTATAAGGGATTGGTTTACTGAACTTGTTGATCAAAATGGGGACAAGTTCATATGGGAAATTACATGAGTTGTCAGATAAAGGGATAGGAAAGGTGAATCTTCAAATTGATAACAAAATCCTCAAACTTGATAAGGTCAGATTTGTTCCTGAATTAAAGAGGAATTTGATTTCCTTAGGGGAGTTGGATGATGACTATGATATAAGAATCCACAAAAACTTTATCAAGCTTCATCTAAACAATAAAGAGATCATCTCTTTGCCCAAGATTAATGGTATCTACACTATGCACACTGAACTTTTAGTAGGTTACAACTATGCTGCTGTAAATATAAAACTTGACAAGTCTTCAATCTGGCACAAAAGGCTTGGCCACATGGCTGAAAATGGATTAACTGTTTAAAATAAACTTGGCTACTTTGGAAAAGACAATTTTGAAAAACTTAGGCCCTGTTCTCTTTGTCGTTTTCCAGCCATTTTCTATTTTTAATTTCTCAAAATAGCGAAAACGCGTTCTCTATCTTATTTTCGAAAATGCGTTTTGCAAAATGAAAAAAAAATTATAACTAAAAA